GCGCGGTGGCCAGAGGCTCCTGCCAGACAACACAGGGCAGAAACGCAGCGTCAGCGCCGGGGGGGCCACCAGCAGGCACCCCCGGGACCCCCGCCCAACCCGCGCCGCAGCCCCCCGGCTCGGCCAGCTCGGCAGGCGGTGGCCGCTGCCCGGCACACAAAGCGGCGCGGCCACTCGGGGGGCTCGCAGCCCCCCCAGCCCCGCCGGCTGCCGCGCCGGCCCCCGGCCGCGAGGACAGCTGTGACCCCGGCAGGACAAAGGGACCCCGGCCCGGCGGGGGCTGCCAGGGGCACCTGTTGGGGTGGGGGCGGCTCCGGGCCCGGCCTTTGTGCCGGGGCTGCCGCATTGTGCGGCGCGGCGGGGCCGGGGGCCCCTCACCGCCCCCCGCTTTTGTCTGCGCCGGCGAGACCCCGGCACCCACCCCGCACCCACCCTGCACCCACCCCGCCGGCGGGGACCCCCCTTTGTCAGGCTGGGCTCAGTGACCGCCACTCCCGTGACACCGACCCGCGACCACTGCTCGTCCCTGGCCAGAGGCGGCGGCTGGGTGGGCATCACTCTCCGCCCGAGAGATGCCCCGGCGGGGGGTCACCCCACCACGGCCCCCCAGCCCGGCCCCGGCTCCGTTAGGGCACGGCCAGGCTGGCGTCGGGGTCTCGCTGCCGGGGTCCCACCGTCCGCCCCCCGGCCAGGACGAGGCGCGGTGCCACCGAGCCACCGCCCCGGCAAGGACCGGGAGCCCCGCGGGGCCGCGATCGGCGGCCGGAGGATGCTCCGTCAGAGCTGCTACCGCCAAGCCCGGGATGCTGCGGGCGCTCCTTGTCCCCGCGGGCACCTTGGCCCGGCCGGGCCCAGTTCGGGCACGGAAACGGGCACGGAAACGGGCATGGAAACGGGCACGGCGCGGCCACGCCCGAGCGGGCGCGGGGCGCTGCGGAGGGTCCCGGCGCAGGCTGCGGGGACACGGGGGGTCCCATTCCCGCTGCCAGGTCCCCGTCACGCCCCGGCTCTGATCCCCGGGGCATTGCGGCAGGAGGCCGGATCGGCGGTCACTGAAACAGGGGGTGCTGCCAGCCGGGGGGGCCCGGCCGGGGGTCCCCAAAGGAGAACTGGGCCGTGCCCCGGTGTGGGGCGCTGGGCTGGGCGCAGGCCCGGGATGGGCCGGGCCCGGGCGAGGCGCGGGGGCGGTGCCGCTGCCGTGGGTCCCGGAGCGCGATGCGGGGAGTGCGGAGCATCCCCGTGCGGGGTCCGGAGGCGCGGAGGGTCCCGGTCTCGCCGGCCCGGGGCGGCTCCGCAGACAAAGCCCAGGGCCGCCCAGCACAAAGGATGCTCGGAGCCGGGGCGGGGCCGCCCGGGAGACCTGGCGGAACAATGAGCGGGGCCCGGCGGGACCCCCGCCGCCCCTCGCCCCTCACGCCCCCGCCGCCCCGGGGTCCCCGCTCCGCCGCGCCCCGCGCACCTGCTGGTCGGCTTCCGATCGCGACAGGGCGCCGACGAGCGAGCCGGGCCCGTTCCAGGAGGAGCAGCCGTACCCAGCACTACACCCCACCGACGCGAACCCCTCGCGCTGTCGCGACACCATAGCTCTGTCGCGACAGGTGTGTCGCCATAGGTGGGCGGCGGCCACACACAGCTTTTCTGCCCGGCGATAACCCGCGAATGGCCCCGGAGGGGGATGGCGGGGCACTCCCCTCCATCCTCGCCTGTCGATTCCCCCGCGGCTGTCGAGACACACGCACCTGTCGCGATTGTCCAACCCGTCGCGATAACGAGCAGGTCCGCCGGTGCGGGAAAGGAAAAGCCAAGCCCGGTCCGGTCCGGTCCAGCCCAGCCCAGCCCAACCCAACCCAACCCAACCCAGCCCAGCCCGGCCCGGCACGGCACGGCACTGTCCCCTCGGTCCCACCCGGCCCCGCCGGTACCTCCCGCTCCGGTGCCGCTCCCGGTGCCGCTCCGGCCGCGATCGCCTCTCAGCCGAACCTGCGCCTCGGGGGCGGGGCCTGGCCGGCCTGCACCAATCAGCGCCGGTGCTGCCGGCGGGGGGCGGGGCCCAGCCCCCAGCGGGGTGGGCTGCGCACGACCTGACTGACAGGATAAGGGGGCGGGGCCAGGGCCCGAGGCCCCGCCCCCGCCACCTGCACGCGCAGTTGCCTTGGTGACGGAGCGCGCGCGGAGACCCCGGTGACCCCTGGACCCCCCGGGACACGCCCGGGACATCACCGGGACACACCGGGAACACCCCCAGGACACACCCGCGACACTCCCGGGACACACCCGGGATACACCGGGAACACCCCCGGGACACACCCGCGACACTCCCAGGACACCCCCGGGACACAGCCGGGGACATCCCCAGGACACTCCCGGGACACCCTCGGGACCCCCCGGCCCCCGCCCACAGCCCCTCGCCCCTGGCCCCCTGCCCCCAGCAGCCCTCCCCAACTCCCTCCCCCGTGGCTCCCAGTGGTCTCCCATGGCTCCCCCATCGCCCCCCATGGCCACCCACGGCATCCCTGTGAGCCCCTCCCAGCACAGCGCAGTGACAAGGAGTGCCCAGGACAGTCCGGGACATGCATTAGTGCCCAGTAAATTCCAGCAGCACCCAGCGACACCCAGTAACACCCAGCAGTGCCCAGCACAGCCCAGTATATCCCATCAGCTACCAGCCCAGTCAGTATCCCTGGACTGTCCTGGTGGCCCCCAGGAGCTCCTGGCACAGCCCATCTCAGTGGCCTCAGGCTCCTGATGAGTGGTGACAGGACGTGACGCTGCTGTCCCCATTCCCTCCCCAGCCTGGTGAGCTGGTGGCACTGGACACCTGCAGTGACAGATGTGGCCCTTGGCCTGTGGTGCTGGGGCTGGTGCAGCTGTGGGGACAGGGGGCTGGGGCATGGAGCTGGGGAGACCTGCTTCATTCCCATCCTGATGTCCACTTCCCATCCCACTATCCCATTATCCCATCCCAGCTGTGCCACCCTGTCCTCAGGCACTGCCCGACTCTGCCAGCTCCTGTCCCCTGAGCACTTTGGTGTCTCTGGGGCTTTGCTGTCTCCCCTGTATCAGAGGCACTGGGGCACACATTTATCTGTCTCTGCCAGGACCCCCAGGTCCTTCCCACAGAGCTGCCCCAGCCCGTGTCACTGCCAGGGGCTGCTCCTTCCCCTGGGCAGCGTGTGGCATTTGTCCCTGTCACGTCCCTGTCGGTCCCTTCTCGCTGCCCTTGGGCACGGGGACAGGTCTGCACACGTTTGGTCATCACAGGCACAGATCTGGGTGGGAAGGGACCTCAAATCCCCCCCAGCGCCACCCCTGCCATGGCAGGGACACCTCCCAGTGTACCAGGAATGTCCAGCCTGGCCTTGGGCACTGCCAGGGATCCAGGGGCAGCCACAGCTGCTCTGGGCACCCTGTGCCAGCCCTGCCCACCCTGCCAGGGAACAATTCCTGCCCAAGATCCCACCCAGCCCTGCCCTGGGGCACTGGGAGCCATTCCCTGTGTCCTGTCCTTCCAGGCCTTGTCCCCAGTCCCTCTCCAGGCCCTGCCAGGGGCTCTGAGCTCTCCCTGGATCCTTCTCCTGTCCAGGTGAGCACCCCCAGCTCTCCCAGCCTGGCTCCAGAGCAGAGGGGCTCCAGCCCTGCAGCAGCTCCAGGTCCTGCTGCTGTTTGGCCCTGTTGAGATCCAATTAGTGAGAGATGCCTCTGCCTGAATTAAGTTGCAAATAAGACCCTATGCCGAATTTTACTTAATAAATGTGAGGTAGAGAAATAGGAAAAAATAGAAAAATGGAGAGGGAGAGAGAGAGAGAGTCTCACCTATGGATCCAGCAGTGTCTCCTTTGTCCTTCTTCACCCCAGGCTCCTCAGTGCTGGGGTGGGGGGCCTGGTTCCTAGTTCTGCACAGAAAGGGGTCTGAGTGGCAAATCCACAAAGCCCAGCTATCAAACCTTTTCACTATTTATACATTTTAGCAAACAAAGGAATTAGTCTCATTGGCTACAATTTATACAGTTCTCTTATTAATTGATAGTCTACCTTCAATTGGTTAATATGTCCTTTGCTTCTTATGCTAATTAATCCCAAGCTCAGTATTGCTCTTCTTTTGGACCAGTGGCTATTTGGGTCTCTGGGCCATGAGTCAGTGGTTGCAATCTGCCCCTGCTGAGTTACCCTTTCTGCTGCTCAGTTCTCCAGCTGGTTTTATCAGTTTCTTCCTTATCTTGGGGTTTCTGCTGAATGTCCTCGTGGCTGGGGAGTTCTTCATTCTTGGTATCCACTCCCACTGGCACATCCTTCATCCCAAGCTTTGTTAGCCCACCCTAGGTATAAGATCATTGAATTTACCTTCCTCACACCTGGGCAGCAGTACCAGTTTATCCAGTACCAGTTCCAGGTATCCACAAGGCTTATTTGGGAGGCTTGGGTGGTCACAGCTCCTTCTGTCCATAACCTGGGCTGGTGTTTGGCTGTGACTCGTGTATGAGCAGTTACTTTTTTCCACACACTGCCACAGTGGGGAAATTTTGTCTGGACTCGTTAAACCAGGATGTGCCGACCAGATCTTGCCTCTTCCAAGCCTGGAATCAGCACCTTCCTATCATAAATTCCTCCCTTCCGTGACTCTAACAGTGCTGGAGACAGACACTTGTGCTCTTCAGCTCTGACGGGCCCCAGGGCTGGGGCAGCTCTGCAGCTGGGGTCTCACCTGAGCACAGGGCCACAATCCCCCCTTTCCTGCTGCCCACACTGGGGGATCAGCCCAGGACTGGGGGATTTCTGAGCTGGGGTCTGTCCAGCCTCTCACCCACCACGTTCTTCTACCAGGGCTGCTCTTGAATCCGTTCTGCCCCAGCCTGGATTGTTCCCGGGGGGTGTCCCAGCGCAGGTGCAGCACCAGAACTCAGCCTTGGTGTCCTTTGTGAGGTGGCCCTCAGCAGCCTGGGGACCCTGGAAGTGCCCTGGCACCGTCCCCTGGCAGAGCACAGGTCCCCAAGCTGTCACACCTGTCACAGCCACTGCTTGCCCACCCACCAGCCCAACCTGCCCTGGACCCTGCTCCAGGCCCCACCACCTTGGGGGCTGGCACTGGGGGAGGCTCCAGGAGGTTCCTGACCCACAGCTCACATGGCAGAAATGGGGGCTCCCACTCTGTGGGGGGCTCTGCACCCCCGACCCCAGGGCTGCATGAGCCAAGGCCCCCAGTGCCCAAGGGAGCTGGGCTCACCCCACAGCCCCCACACCTTGGACTGGGACCTCCTTGCACCCCATTACTCATTGGGAACCCAATCACCAGGGCTGGGACCTCACCACCCACAGGACCCCAGTGCCCTCCAGGACTCCACAATCACCCGAACTCCAAACCTGCCAGGGCCCCACCATCACTGGTGCTGGGATCTGGGATCCCCTCCCCTCCACACGTTTGGATTTCAGCACCTGCACCAAGACCCCATTCCTCCCCCAGACCCCAAAGTCACCAGAATCCCAACACCTGCACTGGGACCTCCTTCCTCCCCCAAAACCCAAAGTCACCAGAATCCCAACATCTGCACTGGGACCTCCTTCCTCCCCCAGACCCCAAAGTCACCAGAATCCCAACACCTGCACTGGGACCTCCTTCCTCCCCTATACCCCAAAGTCCCAGCACCTGCCAGGGCCCCACTATCACCACAACCCCACCAGCACCTGGATCTCCCCACCCAGCAGGACCCCACCACCACAGACACACCACACAACCACACAGAGGTTTTTTTTTTTCCTCTCTTTTTTTTTTTCCTCTTTTTTTCTCTTTTTTTTTTTTGCACAAAACAGGACATTTATTCAAGTGTTCTCCAGCACAAGTACATTAGAAAGGAGCTCGTCTGTATTATACTCTTCTGGGCACCAAAGAAAAAGAAAAGGAGGATGGGATGGAAGCGGGACGGACAGACTTTCTACATCTGCTGCACGCATTGACCTTTATTAGTTCAGAACAGCTATGTCACGAGCAATACTCACACAGATACAACAGCGCCGGGCGCCCGCGGCACCTCCGGCCGTGAAATGCACAGTTCAGCGGCAATAAATAGAGAAGCGACCCTAAAAAAACAAACCAACAAAAAAACAGGGGCAACGAACCGAGAGAGAGAAGTAGAAAATAAAAACCGGGGGGTTGGGGCTCGGGGTGGGAAAAGGGGAGGGAGAGCAGCCGGGGCGGCCGCGGCGGCGCCAAATCAAAGGGAGGAAGGAGGGTACCAGCTCTACGCGCGTATTCCTCGGGATGATGAGTACATGATTCCCACAAATAGTTAAGCGTCAGCTACTTCAATGTCTAGGCTAAAACACATGAAATCTCTCGTTTAGTTTTCAAGTACAAAGTTAAAATGCCTTTTTCTTTTTTGTTTTTTTTTTTTAATAATAATATATAAGAGTAAAATAATAGTGCTCTTTGAAACTCCACTACGAGAAACAAAACAGTCATTGTCCAGACAGCAGACTTAATTTAACAATATATATTTTTAATAAAATGTTTTAGCACCGTGTTTGTCCCCACTCCCTCGGCGGATCTTAAGGAATTTAGGCCTTTCTGTGTTGTTTTGAGTTTTCATCTAGGGCTGTGCAACAGAATTTGTCTGGTTGTTTTTAAAAAAAGACGTGAGTCGGGTACGTTAAAAACAGAACTCTTGCCCCAGGCATCCCCACGGTCCCCACCGCCGCCGGCACCTGTTCCCAGCAGGAACCTGCTTCCCACCGGCACCGGTACCGGCACCGGTACCGGCACGGCCGTGCCAACACCGCGCCGAGCCGGGCCGGCCCCGCGCCACAGCACCTGCTGGGACCCAGCCCCCAAAGGTGCAGCAGGGCCGAGGGGGTCCCAGGAAGCGCTGCAGGGCTGGGCCGGGCCGGGGCGGCCCTGGGGGCCCGCTGGGACCCCCCAAACCCAGCACGTGGCCGTGCAGAAGCCGCCGACAGCGCCACAGGACGGGGCAGCACCGGCACCCGGAGCTGCAGGGCCACGCAGGGTCAGCACCCAGAGCCACACGGGTGTGCAGGACCAGCACCCAGAGCTGCAGGACCGTGCAGGGTCAGCACCCAGTGCCTCAGAGCCATGCAGGACCTGCCAACAACGTTGCAGGGCCGTGCAGGACCAGCACCCAGCACCTCAAGGCCATGCAGGATCAGCACCCAGTGCCACGGGGCCATGCAGGACCCACAGACGATGCTGTGGGGCCATGCAGGACCCGCATTTGCCACGGCGAGGCCACGCAGGGCCTGCAATCAGCACTGCAGGGCCATGCAGCACTTGCAGCCAGGTCTGTGGGGCTGTGCAGGACCCACAGACAGCGCTGTGGATCCATGCAGCACCCACAGGCAGTGGCAGGCAGCCGTGCAGGGCCTGCAGCAGTGCCCGCCGTGCTGCACACAGGACACCCCATGGCCACGCCAGCCCCACAGACGGGGTCATGGGGCCACGTGGGCTCAGACAGCAGCAGGCAGGACCTGTGCCCGGCGCAGCAGTCCTGTGCCATCCTGTGCCACCCGGCCCCGGGAGTGAGCAAGAGCCCAGAGCCCGGGGCCAGCGCCCTCCTGCCTCGCCACCTTCACTCCCCGGCAAAGCCAGGCCCCGCGGTGCCCCCACCGCAGCCGCCTGTGCCAGCTCAGCTCCCCGTGCCCCCCGCACCCAGAGGGGCCCCCAAGCCCCCAGTAGCACCAGGAGGGAGGGGAGGTGGGGGCCCCTTGGCCGCCCCTGTCGGTCCCAGCACCTCAGAGCGCCGCGGCTCGCTGCCATTAGCCAGCACCCCGCAGCGAGCGCGGCCCCGGAGCCCGCACCTTTCACAGTTAGAGAGGAGACAGCGACGGGCCCGGCCCTAGCACCAGTCCCTGCCCCACCGGGTCCGGCCACCCACCGGGGCTGCACCGGGCCGGACACCGGACGCCTGTAGCACCATCCACCGCCGCACTGCCAGCACCTGCCCGCGCTCTGCTCACACCGCGGCCCCTGCGGCCGGGGCTGCCGACACCGACGCTGCCACCACCGCCACGGGCACCCGTCACCCCCGGCGGGGCACGGGGCCGCCCCACACGAGGCACGCTCGCTCCAAACCACGCGTGGGCAGGGGAGCGATGGCCCGGCAGCCGCGGTGACACTGCCAGGGTCCCCGTCCCGGCTCGCCGGGGCATCGCCCTCCTGCCGCCAGCCCGGCCCCGCGGATGTAGCACCAGGGTCCGGCGCCCGCAGCCATCCCCGTGCCATGCCGGAAACGCCCCGGCCGCGCTCCGGCACCGCTGCCGCTTCGTGTGCCCCCTGCCCCGCCGGCGTCCCCGCCACCGCCCTCGGCCAGAGCCCGCCAGCAGCACCGTGCCCCACGCAGCGCCCACGGCGAGGGGCACGGCCGGGGGGGGCAGGACCCCCCCGCTGCTGCCGGGGCACCGGGGGGACACCCGGCACCGGCCCCGCCGGACACCACGTACGCAGAAGAGCACCAGTACGCTGTGGGGTGGCACCGGCGGGGCAGAGGGGGGGCACCGCCGAGGCGCTTCCTTTCGGGACAGAAAAAGGTTATTGCATGACTCGGGATGGAGACGCTTCCGCCCGGCCGCCCCGGCCCTGCCGCTCGCTCGGAAAGGCCCGGCACGTAAGGCAACGTGGAAGCTGATGTCTCGACTCACCCCGCTGTGTAAAGCACCATTATGAAGTCAGGTTGTACAGTAGTAACAGTACCTTTTATATATATATATATCTATATCTCATATCTATCATATATATATAAACTGTAAACAAGAGGTAACAGCGGCTTCTAGGATCTGCTCTCTTCAAGGTTTCCGTGTGGTAGGCACCCAAAATACTGTAGAAAAGGTGTGTGTGTGGTGTGTGTGTTCCCGGCCTCCCTGCCGGGTTGGCTCCATGTCACCGGAGAGCGGTGCTGGTGGAACAGAGCGAGGCTCAGCCGCCGGGCGCTGCCGGAGCCGCCGGGCGCTGCTGCAGCCGCAGCCGGGGCCGGGCCGGCCGGGCGCTGGCGCGGACGGAGCGGAGTGGTCTCGGAGCGGGTCTCGGAGCAGAGCGGGTCTCCTTTGCCTCCGCCTCCCTCCCGACTGGGCTTTCCCGCTGCCGTTTCCCCCTCTCCGAGAGCGGCGCTGGCGACGGCGTCTCTCGTCTCGCCCGCTGCTCCGAGAAGTGGAAACCAAACCGACAGGAAAACCCAGCCAGAAAAGAGCGGAAAATTAAAAGGTTACCCAAAAAAAAATGGTTTTGGTTTCTTTTCTTTTTCTCTTTTTTTTTGTGTTTTTTTTTTCTTCTGTTTCGTCATCATTTTGTTTGCTTTCGCCGTCTTCGTTGTTTGCTTCTTGTGGTTTTTGTTTGTTTTTAAATAGCTAAAGCTGATCCTGGGAAATTCCGGAGAGGACACCGACCCCTTTCGCTCGGGGAGACGTGTGCTGGGTTCCCGTCGGGCTGCGAAATCCCGTCTCTCTTCTGGGTGCTGACTCTTCTCTCATTCCGTGTGTTCACTTCTCTTGGCGTGGATGGGTTTGTTTCCGACTCGCTCCGTGTGACCAGTTCCTGCCCATCTCTAGACGCAGGCAAAGTATTCCTTCAGGGGCGCGAAGAGGTGGCGAATCACCGGCACGCTCCAGGACCTGCCGAGCAGTCTCTGCCGGGCCAGGCGGCTCATGTTGGACACGTCCGTGTAGTGCACGGGGAAGCCAAAGACCCTGCGGGACAGGGGTGGGTGGGGAGGGGTCAGTCAGAGGTGTTCCGTGGGCAGCACCCGGCCCGGTGCCCCGGCCCGGTGCCCACGGTACCTCTCCATCTCCGTGCACCACAGGATGTCCTCCTTCTCGTTCATGAACACGGGGAAGTGCTGGTCCTTGCCCTGCTTGATGGAGTTGGAGCGAGTGGTGATGGTTCGCACTTTGCTGAACTGCAAGAGGCACAGGCTGGTCAGGCTGGGCTGGGATGGAGCCCTCAACCCTGGGAGCCACCACCCCAGGGAGCCTGGGACTGGGGGTGACAGCACTGGAATCCCTCTGCTGTCCCTTCGGGAGCCCTCCCCTCAGCCCCTGAGCACCCAGCCCTGCTGACCTTTGCTATCCTGCCGTGCTCCAGGCACTCCTGCAGCTCCAGCTTATCGTTGACGGTGGATGCGAGCGGCCTGGGGGGGAGAGATGGTGGGCAGGGGGTGCCAGCGCTGTGTCCCCAAGCTGTCCCCCCACCGTGCCCACAGGACAGGTCTCCAGCTGGGGTTTGTGGGAGTCACAAGGTGGCCACTGCTGTTTTGGGGGTCTGTGGCAGGTGATGGGCAAGAAGCAGCCAATTCCTGTGGGAGCCCATCTGTGACCACTAGCTGTGGGCCACCGCAGCCAAATCCAAGGGGGACACAAAGGACAGATTAGTGCCTCCCTTCCAGCACAAGAGAGCTGGGACAGGACCAGCCACCCCCACAGGGGAACCACTGTAAGTTTCTAGGGTGTGCCATCACCTCTTTGTGAGACTCCTGCTCTTGCCCAGCACTGACCGCGGTCAGGGGACCCCCAGAGCCACATCTGGGTGAGGGAGGGAGGGAGGACCCAGGAGTGCAGCCCACCCTCCCAGAGCCAGGCCAGGGGCTGAGCTTTGGGCTGCTCTCACCAACCTGTTCATGCCGGGCAGGTTCCCCCAGAAGTACCGTGCCCGGTGCGCTGCAGACACTTCTTTGGCATCAATCATGACGGGATTGGACTGAGGGATAGAGAGTGGCAAAGGTCAGCAGGGCTGGGCAGCCCCTTGCTGTGGGGGTGGGACCTGGGGGACCCCGGGGCTGGAGGGGGGTGACCCCAGGCAGGCACTGACCTCCAGGAAGCGCGAGATGTCCCTCTTGTCGCTCACCCCCATGGCCACCACGTTCTCAAAGAGCCAGAAGAAGGGCCGGTCGTCACCCTCCTTGGGCCGGGCTTCGTGGAGCAGGCGGTAGAACTCGAAGAAGAGGCGCCCAGTGCCCTCTGGGAGGAGAGAGGAGGGGCTGGGCTAAGGGCTGGGGGTCTCTGTCAGCCCTGGAGGACCAGCCCCACCCCTGTGGAGCCCCAGCCCTCTCCTACCGTAGAGGCCCTTCCTGGCCGGGTTGACGATGGACAGGTCGTTGCAGGGGCTCCCCCCAATCACCAGATCAAAGGGGCCCCACTCCTGTATCTGCAGAGGGAAAGGAGACCCAGGTGAGCCAGGCACTGCCACGGCCTGGGGGACAGGGGGCAGAGCTGCCAGAGTGGGAAGGGAGCCACCAGGACCATTGAGCCCTGCTCCTGGCCGTGCACAGCACACCCTGACACTCCCAACCTGGGCCCGAGTGCTGCCCAAAGGCTCCTGGAGCTCTGGCAGCCTGGGGGGCTGAGGGGGGCAGGACAGGACGTACGTGTTTCTGGGTGACATTGCGGACGTCCCCGACGTACATGATCTTGCCCTGGTGCCTCACCATGCCCACGGTGATGGAGTCCTCGCACACCTCGGAGGCGATGTACCTGTCCACCTGGATGCCCAGGTCCTTCAGCACCAGCAAACCTGCGGGGAGCCATGGGGAATGGGCCATGTGCACGCACAATGGGCCCCCAGCCCCACCTGTCCCAGCACCCCCCCCAGGACCATCCCCCTTCCTGCTCCCCTCTAGTGTGTGACCCCTGGGGTGGGGAAGACAATGGGGACTGCCCACGGAAACACCCACAGATCTGTCCACACCCTGCGGCCTGGCTGCCCTCACCCCAGCAATCCCATCCCACACACCCCAGGGGAGGCCCTGCAAGGGCCGTGGGGCCAGGGACCCCCACCCACCTGTGGCAATGCCATCAAAGAGTGACAGCACCCGGATGGGCTTCCTCTTCTCAGCTGGCACCGGCGGGTACACCTTCGGTGGGTCCTGGAAGCCACGGGGATGGGGTCAGTGGGGCTGGGGCCAGCGGGGAGGGGCTGGGGGCCAGCGGGGAGGGGCACTCACAAACTCCTGGTCGTGGTTGTTGGCGAAGAACATCTGGAGGCGCGAGGGCCAGTCCTCCCGCCGCCGCAGCAGCCCGTACACGCCCTTGTGGCCGCACATGTAGCAGTTCCAGGGGTCCTCCTTGATGGCCGCCTGCGCCGCCCCCGGGCCCACCAGCAGGTCCACACACTCCACACAGAAGCACCTGGCACAGGTGGGAGCCAGGGTCAGCAGTGGGGCTTGTGCCATCACCAGAACCTACCCAGCTCCCCAGCACCAGTGGGGCATCGCCCACGGGGGTCCCACAGATCTGCCCACACACTCCTGCTCTGAGACCCTGGCATTTCCCAGCTCCATGCTGAGACTTTGGACAAACCAAAGCTTGCCCCAGCCCTACAGCAGGACTGTGGCATCACCAAAACCTCCCCAGCCCCAAACCAGAACTGGCATCATCCAAAACCCCATGGGAGGACTGTGGCATCACCAAAAACCTCAACACAAAGACCTCAGTCCCACACCAGACCTGGAACACCCCCAGAATTACTGAGCTCCACAGCAGTACTGGAGCATTGCCAGAACCTCCCCCAGCCCTACAGGATCTCATCACTGCCAAAACCTCCAAAGCCCCACACCTGGACTGGCATCACCAAAACTCCATGGCAGGACCATGCCATCTCCAGACCGCAGCATTACCATAACCCAAAACCTCCTCCAACCCCAGAAACCAGGACCAAGGCACCACCAAAACCTCCCAGTCTCAAACCACAACTGGCATCACCCAATCCCCATGCCAGGACTGTGGCATCACCAGGACTACCAGCTCCATCAAGGCAGGACCAGGGCATTGCCAAAACTCCCACAATCCCATACCTGGACCAGAACATTACCAAAACCTCCCAACCCTACACACGGGGACTGTGGCATCATTAAAAACATGAAAACCTTTCCAGTCTTGCTCTGGGATATCACAAATCCTCCCAGCCCCAAACCAGGACTGAAGCATCACCAGAATGCCCCATGCTGGGACTGTGGTATCACCACAACATTCCCAAGCCCCACACCAGGACTGACAGCACTCGATTTCCATGCCAGGTCTGTGGCAGTACCAAAACCTCTTTAGCTCCACATGAGGATTGAGGCATCACAAAATATCCCAGACTGGTGCTGAGGTGGATAAATCTGCTCCAGGGAGTGGGGTCTGAAATGCAGATTGAGCTGCAGAGGTTGAGCTCTGGGTGGAGCCCCCACCGTGAACTGCTGAGCTTTGCAATAACAAAGAGGATGAGGAAGGGTGAATGGACACAGAAACACAGCAGGAGTTGGGATAACATAACAAAGGACATACAGAGAGGTGCCTGCCAGCCAGGTGGATGCAGAGGGGGACACTGAGGGGATAAAACCGAGGGGGTCTTTTGTGGGATCCCTCCTCGGAGGCACCAGCTCGGGCTGTGTTTGTATTTCTGTGCCACGAATAAATGACTTTACCGAACAAGATATCTGAGACGCTGCCATTGGAAACTGGGCTGGAACTGGTGAGGAAACAGGGTCAGACTGGGTGAGGGGCTGTGGGGAGCCCAGCAGGGCCCTCGGGTCACTGCAGCTGCCCTGCAAAGGGGCTCTGGCCACAGTAGTGACAGTCTCTGGCACTGGGAGTGTGACAGCCCAGGAGGCGCAGGAGCACTCAAGACTGGGAAGTTTCCTTACTGACATCACCAAATTCCCATGCCAGGACTTGGCACCACCAGAACCTCCCAGTCCCACATAGGACTGGCATCACTGACCATGGGGGGCTGCAGCATCACCACACGGTACCCAGACTCACACCAGGACTGGGACATCAAACGGGGACATGGGGACAGTGGCACCACCAGAACCTCCCAGTCCCATGCCAGCTCTGGCATCACCACAGACCACAGCATTGCCAAAACATCCCAGCCCCAAACCAGCACCAGCATCACTGAACTCCCACGCCAAGACTGTGGCATCACCAAACCTTTCTTGTCCCTTAATGACACTGGGACATCACCAAAACTGCCCAGCAGTCCCACACCAGGACTGGCATCACCAAAACACCGCGTGGCGGGAATGTGGCGACACCAAACTTGCCCACCCTCATGCCAGACAGGAGTGGGGTCCCAGTGAAAGCTGTGTGGCTCCAGCCCAACCCCGTGGCACCCCCAGCCCCCCCGGCACCCCCAGCCCCCGACCTGCAGCAGTTGTTGTTGCCACACATGAGGACCTCGCGGCCGCCGCAGCAGATGGTGCAGTAGGACTGGTAGCCATCGTCGTCGTACTGGTATGCACACTCCAGAAAGCAGTTCTGGGGACAGCCAGGGTGTCACTGCAGGCCTGGGGACACTGGGGACCCCAGGACAGGGTGGGGCACCCTGTGAGCCCCCCAGCCGTGCCCCCTGGCCCAGCCCCACACCGTACCTTGCAGTTTTGGCACATGCCCCCAATGAACAGAGGGTGCTCCAGGGTTACATTGAGGCTCCCACAGGAGATGCAGATGTCTGGGGGAGAAGGGAAAACATTGCCCTGGCACCCAGCCCAGTGTGGGGACACCCCAGACCCTGTTCTGCAGCGTCCAGGAAACATTCACCCCATGCTGGGGCCACACCAGAGCTGGGGAACAACCCCGGGAGCAGCAGGGCAGGACTCTCACTGCCCTCCAGCCCCACCCCAGACCCTGAGCAGTGTCCTGGGGGTCCCTGCCACCATCCAGGGTCACTGCCACCTCACAGCTGCTGTCCCTGGTGCCAGCCAGGCTAAGGGATGGGACAAGCCTGGCCCTCTTTCCTTGAGCTGTCCCCACACCCCTCTGTGTCCCCTCTGCCCGTGCAGGGAGGTGCAGACCCCCACCCCAGCCCACATCCTCGGTGTGGGATGTGCCCCAGCCCCACACTCACCTTCGATGTTCCTGCACTTCTGCCGGACCTCGTACACCAGCCGCTCTGGGGGAAGAGACTGATCAGGGGGCCTGGGCCCAGCCAAGCCCCCTCGTGGGTGAGGTGAAAGGAGGGAAGGACCCTGGGGGAGAAGGGGACCCAGCCTGGAGCAGCCCTTGCCCCCCACCCCGCATTTGAGCGACTCCAGAGAAGAGTGGTGGCCACGGGGACATCCCCAGCCCCGCGGTACCTCGGGTGCGCTCGTCGATGATCTCCTTGACCTTGGGCTTCTCCTGGGTTGTGCTTTTCCGGGGTTTTTTGGCGGGTGGGGGTGGTGCGTAGGCAGCTGCTTCGGGCTCGACCCACATCTCCGTGTAAACTTCTTTGTAGGGGTTCCTCTCCTCTGTGGGACCAGGGGACCTCAGCAGAGTCCCCCCAGAAGGGTCCCAGCTCCGCCAGGACCTCTCAGCCCCACAGTGCCTCCCCGGCCCGGCCCATCCCACCGTGGTGACACCAGAGCTGATGGTCAGTGTCCCCCAGAACCCCTGGGCAAGTGTCCCCAGTGCCTCACCCATGCAGGGGCTGCTGCACCCCGCTCACCTTCAGGGGGCTCCAGCCCCTTGGGGCCGGAGGGCTGGAAGCCACCCAGGGCCCACTCGATCATCTGCTTATTCTGGATCTCCACCACCTTGGACGTGTCTGTCTCGTCGTTCTCAGGGCATGCAGGGAAGATCTTCCCAGCCCGGCTGCTGGCCACCTGCGAGGGTGCAGGTGTCACCCACCCCCACATGGGGGTCCCCATTCTCAGCCCCCTGGCTGCTCCCTGCACTGCCCAACCATGCAGTCCCCAGCCTCGAGGGGACCAACGTGGTCAGGAACCTCCACAAGCGCCCCCAGCACTGCTGAGAACCCCCAAAGCCAGGATCACCCCACATCACCGTACAAGAGACCCCTCCCAGCAGTGCTGAGAGATGCCATGAAAGGCGTGAGCCCCAGAGACCCCCAGAGTCCCTGACCTCCTCCCCAGACCCCCCACACCCCTGCCGGGCACAGGTGACTCCCAGACACCCCCAAAGCCTCCTTAGAGAAAACACACAAATGTCCTCAGGGGGTCCTCCAGATCCCCATGCCTTTTAAGAGACCTCCAGATGGGGCAGGGTCCTGGCAGGGTGGAGAGGCAGCTGCTGCTCGCACAGATGGAGCCACTGTCCCTGGGATGTCCCCCCAGCTCCGCGTGCCCCCGCTCACCTGCAGCACCTCGTAGATGGCCTTGCGGTACATGGGCTGCTTGTTGTAGGTGGCCTGGTGGAAGGCGCTGGCAAAGGAGCTCAGGGGCAGCAGCTTCTCCACACACACCTGGGGACAGACAGGACGCGGCCGTGGGGACACCCGGAGCAGGGCTCCTGTCACCCCCAGGCCCCCCGGTCGCCACTTACCACCGAGAACTTGCCGTCGCCGAACCACATGACCCAGCGGGTGCCCTCGGCCGCGCGGCTCCGGCCGGTCATCCACCAGGACACGATGCGGCCGGGCCACCACGAGAAGCCGCGCAGCTTGCCCCACACCAGCTCGCCGATGCCGAAGCCGCGCCCGTCCTGCGGGGGAACGCGGGGCTCAGGGCGGTCACACGAGGGCCCGGCCCCGCCGCGGCCCCGCTCCGCCCGGCCCTGCCCTCACCTCGTACTCGGGCTCGTCGTCGGCGGATTTGGAAGCGTTCTTGTCGCCGGCCTCGGCCACGGCCGGCTCGGGGGTGGTGGCCACGCTGGGCGAGGCGGGGTCGGTGGGCTGCTGCGGGCCGGGGGGCGGGCTGGCCTCCTCCTCCTTCTGCGCCTCGGCCCGCGCCGGCTCCTCCACCACGTTCATCACGGCGATCACCTTGGCCTTCTTCTCCGCCTGCGGGGACACGGCAGGGCATGGCCGCGGGCCCCACGGGCCACAACGGCGCGGCACGGCATCGCCCGCGGCGGGAGGGAGCCCCCGGCCCACCGCGGGGCCTGGCGACGAGGTGTCCTGCCTCAGTTTCCCCATCCTGACCCCCGTCCCCCGCGACCCCCAGAGCTAATCCCGGGATCCCCGGGGCCCATCCCAGGACCCCTGGCACTCATCCTGTGACCCCCAGAGCCCATCCCGATACCCTCTGTACTTATCCCAGGACCCTCGCAGCTCATTCCGGTCCGTGTCACCCTCTCCGGGTCCACCCCTCCGTCCCCAGCCCGCGGTGGTCCCGGTCCCGGTCACGTACCCGCGGGGACCGGCCGGGCCCGGGCCGGAACGCACGGAGCCGGAACGTGCGGAGCCGGCCGGGCCGGTGCGGGTCAGCCCGGCGGCCCTTTGTCTGGGCTCCGGGTCACGTGGTGCCTCCCGGCCCGGCTGGTTGGCTGCGGAGGGGGGTTGGGGGGGGGCGCGGGGGGCACGGGCCGGACCGGAACCGAAGGGGAACCCAAGGCACCCGAGTGGAACCGAACAGAACCGAAAGGGCCCGAGCAGAATCGGAGTGACAGAGAGGAGCCGAAGAGACCCGAACGGCGCCCGGGCCAGAACCGAAGGGACCGGGGCGAAACCGAAGGGACCAGCAGAACCGAAAGGTTCGACAAGAACCGAACGGAGCCGAGCGGAGCCGAGAAGAGCCGAACGGAGCCGAGCGGACTCAGGGATGGGTCCGAGCGGTCCCGAGTAGAACCGAACGGTTCCGAGCAGAACCGAACGGAGCCGAGCGGACTCCCGGCACGGAACCAAACGGAGTCGAACGGCCCCGAGCGCTCCGGCCCGATCCTGGTCCCGCAGACCCGGTTCCTCCTAGTGTCGGCCCTAGTGCTTGTCGCCCCTGCCCTGCTGTGTCGCCGGTGGTCCGGTCCCGGCCCGTCCCTCCCGGTACTCACGGGCCCGCGGCCGTGCTCCGGTCCGGTCCGGGCTGTGCCTCACGCCGCGGGGCCGCTCCCGCCGCCTTTTGTCCCGGGGCCGCGGCCCCCCGGCCTTTGTGCGGAGCGCCGGGACGGGGCGGGGGCGCCCCGGGGGCCCGGCCCCGCACGGCTGGAGCCGCCCCCGCCCCCCGCACCAGTGTCCCCAGTGCCACCACTGGGGGACGGGGGGGGGGGACGGGGGGCAGCGGCTCCGGGACCATTGGGCCCGGCATGGATGGACACTGGTGTGTGGTCACACCGCCCGGTTCGGCCCGGTGCGCACATTGCTCTGGTACCGCACGGCCCGGTTCGGCCCGCTGCGGACACTGGTACGGGGCTGGCACCGATCCCGCTGCCCCAGTTGTGCCCGGTACGGACGGCACGGGACACGCTCGGGGTCCCCGCACCCCAGTACGGGCCTTGTCCCCCCCTGCCAGCCCGGGGGTCCCCGCGAGTCCCGGGGGTCCCATGGCGCGGTGGCTGCGGGACCCCTCTGTGTGCAGAGGGGGACAAAGGGGTGGGTGGTGTCACTCCGGGACCCCTGCTCTGCCACCCCCTGCTCGGGGGGATCCGGAGGGACCCCAAGGGACCCTGAACACGGCAGTGCCCCAATGCCACCCTCTGGGTGCCCCCCGGGTGACAGCGGGGTGACATCACCCGGTCCGTGCTCCCCCAGGTGACAGTGGGGTGACAGCAGGGACACCCCGCTTCCTCCAGCCCAGCTCGGGCTTTGGGGATCTGGGATGTTTGGGGACACGAGTGGCCCTGGACCAAAGGACACGGGGTGGATGGATGATACCCGGCGTGTCCTGAGGCACGGTCACAGCAGGACCTCGTGTCTCCCCCCACCCAGTGCTGGTCCTGCCCGGGGGCACAGGAAATGTCCCATCGCCGGTCGTTAAGGGACATCGTCTGGATATCCCCGCTGCACAATTGTCCCAACTGATCCCTGCCCTGGGGCCACGGCAGCTTTGCCAACCCCGTCCACCCCCATCCTCAGCTCCATCCCCAATCCCTGTCCTTGCCCCACCCCCATCCTCATCTCCATCTTTCTGCCATTCTTATCTCCATCTTTATCGTCTTCCTCATCCCATCTCCATTCCATTCCATCCCATCTCCATCCCATCTCCATTCCATTCCATTCCATTCCATTCCATTCCATTCCATTCCATTCCATTCCATTCCATTCCATTCCATCCTCACTGTTCTTGCCCCCATCCCCATCTCCTTCATCTCCATCTGGCCCCCTTCCCTGTCCCATCTCCATCCCCATCTCCACAGCTGGCACAGGGTGGAGGGTCCCGGCCTAAGGGGCGGACATGAGAGGGCCAGCACCTGCCCTGAGTGTCCCTGTCACTGCACTGACCCCGGCTGTCCCTGTCCCCGGCCAGCTGCACCCCTCAGAGGCTGAATGGATGAGGAAGAGGAGGGCAGGCTGGAGGGCGCTGTGTTGTCCCTGTGCCCACGGTGGCGGGGCTGGTGACCCCAGCTGGGACAGACAGTGGGGAGTGTCCCGAAAGTGGGACATGGGCGGTGGGTGGCACAGAGGGGGCAGCAGCCAGGCATGAGGGCAGCTGTGAATGGTCACTGGGCCACCAGCCAGCTCTGCTCACCAAAATCATGGCCCAGAAGAGACCAGTGACAGGTTTGGAAGCCCTCAGGGTTTGGGGAGCTCCATCCAGGAGAACTTGCCAGTGCCAAAGGGCTCCGGTCTGGGGGCTGTGCCTGGGGACCTCTTCCAGGAGGAGGGAGGTGGTCATGCCCTGTGGGACACTGTCAGTGTACCAGCTGTGCCCTGTGGGGACACCGTGGCTGTGTCAGCCATGCCCAGTGCCCCACGGCATGGCCTGGCCATGGCAGCCGTGCCCAGTGGGATGCCCTGGCTGTGCCAGGCTCCACTGTCCCTGTGGGTGCCAGCAGGAGGGTGCTGGCAGCAGGGTTATGAATGGTGCCAAAGAGGTGGCACAAGGGGACACGATACGAGGGAGACCTGCTGGCAGTGGGGGACAATGCCCAGAATGGGGTGAGGGAGGTGTGATGGGGAGACCGGGGCACCCACAGAGCCCCTGTCTCTGCTGGCCACAAGCAGCTGCTGGCACCACAGCCACCCTGTGCCTGCGTCAGGCTCCTGCCACGAGCCCGGCTGCGTCACACGCCGGTTCCCCGGGAAACCAGCAGGAACGAGCAGCAACGGGCGGCACATCCCGCGGGAGACGGACGGGCCCCGCTGCCCACGGCTGTGCACACCGGCCCCGAGAGAGGGCAGGCACGGGGGGCACGGGGGGCACGGGGGGCACGGGGGGCACGGGGGCGAGGAGCGGAGCCGTGGGGCCAGACTCGGGTGCCAGTGGGGCAGCAGCAGCAGCAGCAGCAGGGAGCACCCTTTTCACCAGCCGCAGGGCAGTGTGCCCACCCGAGCCCCCTGCGTGCCCGGCCAGCCCCGGCAGGGCTCTGTGCCACCAACGATCGCCGTGGGAGCCTCGGGGCGCCGTGGCCACGCGGTGCCCACCCCCCGCCGGCGCCAGCCCTCACCTCCCGCTTCCAGCGTGCCAGCCACTCGTCCCGTTTCCTCTTGCTGATGTAGTAGGGGTCCCCGGCCTGGAAGGTGTGCCGCTGCATGGGCCGCTGCCGCAGGCTCGACTCCCAGCCCAGCCCGCCGCGGAGCCGCCCGCGCGAGCCCTGCGCCGACAGAGAGACACGGGTCAGGGTCAGGGTCAGGGTCAGGGTCAGGGTCAGGGTCAGGGCACTGCCTGGCAGCCTGGGGACAGCCACAGGCTGGCCCTGGGGACAGCAGAGGGGACGGAGCAGAGTGCCCGGGGGGCTGGAGGGGGGCACACGCTCGGGCGTGGGGGCAAGGGGAGCACCACCTGCCTGGGCACACCTGTGCACATGAACGTGGCCTGGCCCGTGTGTGCAGCAGGACCTGGTGTCCAGAGGTTTGATACTGGGGAAAAATTCTTCCCTGTGGGGTGGTGAGGCCCTGGCACAGGGTGCCCAGAGGCGCTGTGGCTGCCCCTGGATCCCTGGGAGTGCTCCAGGGCAGACTGCACATGGCTTGGAGCAACTTGGCCTAGTGGAAGGTGTCCCTGCCCATGGACGAGCTCTGAGGTCCCTTCCAGCCCAAACCAGTCTGGGATTCAATCACCTGGATGCCATGGCATCACTCCACACCCAGCTGCACCTTGGTGGGCACCACGGGCACCAGCCAGGCATGGATCTGCCCCAAAGCAGATCCAGCACACTGTGCCCAGAGAACTGAGGGAGGCGAGGGCCCAGCCTGGGCAGGCACCAGCCCATGCAGGGCTGGAGGGGGGTCACTGACCCGGCACATCCTGGTGCCATGTGCTCCCCAGCACAGCAACAAGTGTGTGGCTGTGGCGTGGCATGGGAGCCCAGGACCCCCATCCTGTGGGAATGTGGGCCCTGCTGCTCCCCCATGGCCACCGGTGCTGAGGGAGCAGGGAGAGATGGTGCCCGTGGGCACGAGGAGCACCACACTGGCTGGTGGGCTGTGGGGCCGTGCCCATCTCCTGGGCACAGCCTTGCAGGGTCCAGCCCCAGGCCATACTTGCCTCCATTTTCAGGCTGTCGAAGTTGTTTTCCTCCTTCTCGTCCTTGCCTGCACACGGAACAGAGAGCAGCCGTCAGCCGGCGCGGGGCTGCGGGGCTGCGGGGCCGGGACCCCGCGGGGCGATGGGGCCCACCCAGGACTGCACGGGGCACAAAGGGGGCCCCCCCAGCCCGTCCAGGGGCCCCCTGTGCCGGGCCCGGGGCCTGGGGCGCTCCCCGGGGCGGTGCTGTGGGTGGGTGGGTGGGTGCTGCTTCCTCCACGCAGCCGCTGCTGCTGCCCTGGCGGGGTTTGGGGGTCCGGGGCAGTGACCCCCCCGGCGCAGGGGAAGCGGCGCAGCCCCGCTGCTTCCTGTGCTCTCTGCACATCCGCGCCGCAGGTCGTGCCGAGGCGCTGCCAGGAAAGTGGCTAAAAATAACCCCGAGTGTTTCGGGGGGTGAGAACCGCCGGGGGCCGGGGCAGCGGGGGCGGCCGGGGGAGTGGGGGGCACTGCTGGGTGCACAGGGGGCTCCCACCCACTGCTGGCACCCCTCAGCACCTCGCCCCGGCACAGAGCCTGGGGTGGCCACAGACCTGTGTGACGCTGGCACGGTGCCCCGCAGCTGGCACATGGGGATCCAGCCCCCCATGGCAGCATGAGCCCCCCAAAGCGGCAAGACCTGAGTAGGAGAGCAGCCCAGAGTGCTGGGGGACAGCAGGGGACATGGGGGGACAAGGGGCACACTGCAGGACACTGGGATGGCAGGGGACACCTTGGGACATCAGGGTGTGTGTGCACTCCAGGTATGCCCAGGTGTCCATCCCATCCTCCCAGTGCTGCCCACAGGGATCTCAGGTGGGGAAACTGAGGCACGGGAGAGGGGGGCCTGGCCTGTTCTGAGATGCTGGTGCCCTCTGGCACTGGTCAAACTGGGGGACACTGACTGAAGCAGGGATTTCCCGTGGCCACGGCTGATCCCAGGCACGGCATCCCCGGGGAGCCCCGGCGGACTGGGAGGAGCAGGGGAGGGTCCGGAGGAGCAGGGCAGGGTTCGGAGGAGCAGGGCAGGGTCCGGCGGAGCCGAGCCCGGTGCTGGAAGGGGCCGGTGACCCCAGCACGGGCACGGCCGGAGCGCTGGACATGGCTCCGTGCGGGAGGAGCCGAGCTCCCGGCAGCGTCACGGCTGCCCCGGGCCGTGCTGGGGATGGCTGGAGCCGCCCCCACGCCACGGCATCCATCGCAGCACAGCACTCAGCGTGTCCGGCTGCCCCGGGCCCGCAGCAGCCGCTCCCCCCGCTCCCCCCGAGCGCGGCTGCGGCTGCGCCTCGTGACTGCGGCAGCATCTGCAGCGTGCGGCTCATCCGTCCATCCCTGCATCCAGCCGTGCATCCAGCTGTGCATCCAGCCATGCCTCCATCCCTGCATCCAGCTGTGCATCCAGCCACGCATCCATCCCTGCATCCCCCCATGCATCCAGCCATGCCTCCATCCCTGCATCCAGCCATGCCTCCATCCCTGCATCCATCCCTGCATCCATCCCTGCATCCGGCCCTGCATCCAGCCATGCATCCAGCCATGCATCCAGCCATCCCAGCCTCTTCCAGCTCCATCCCTGCCTGCCTCAGCCATCCCAGTCTCTTCCAGTTCCATCCCAGCTCTCTCCTTTCCGTCCCAGAGCCCTCCTGGCACCAGCACTGTCTCAGCATGGCCATGTGATGATTCCAGTCAGGAAGGCCCCAGTGCCAGAGCTGGGAATGCTGAGAAGGTGTCCCGAGGGACCCTCTGGGCTCCAGCCCGTGCCGTGGGCTCTGGTGCCGTCCCCGGGCTCACCTGCAGACCCCTCCCCAGAGGTGGCACAGCCAGGTATCCCCGGGCCCGCTCTGCTGCTGCAGCCTCACCCCAGCAGAGCCGCTCGGGCCCTGCAGCGTCACAGGGTGCTCGGCGGGCTCTGCCCAGCTTGTCCCTGTCCTTGTCCCTCGTGTCCTGGCGAGCCAGCGCTGGGCCCGGCCCTATGGGGGGGCTGCACTACCTGGGCACCTCCTGACATGGCCCAGAAATGCCCCGGGACCCCTGGGACCCCCTGTGGGTGCTGGGATGGACCCCTCAGCACGGCGCTGCTCCCCAGCACCACAGCCAGCGCCTCCGCGGGCCCCAGCACGGGCAGGGCAGCCACGGGGGGACACTCGTGCCAGGGAGGTGTCACGGGGGGACAGGGATGTGCTGGCACCGAGCACAGGGCCCGGCATCCCTGCTCCTGCTGTCAGCAAAGGCGATGATGGGGGACAGGATGAGCATGCGGGCACAGCCCCCCACTCCAACCTGCTGCCCCCACCCCAAATCCCACATGGAGGGGCTCAGCCCTTCCTCCTCCTCCTCCTCTGCAGGACAGTGGGGCTGGGGGTCCCTGGGGGGCTGAGCCCCGAGAGCGGGGAGCCCCCAGCGCTGAGCTCTTACTTTTCTCTGTGGCCTCCAGGAGTTTCCTCCTCCCGCGTTTCTTCTGGGGGTCGGAAGGGGCCAGCTCACCCTCATCGGCCGGGGCGTCCAGGCCCTCCTTGGGCGTGCAGCGGCCGTTCTCCAGCGCCCGGCCCGTCTCTCCGTCCGCCAGGCTCTCGCTCTCGTCCTCCTCGGGCCGGCCGCCCTTGGGGCTCCCGCCGGCCTCCTCCGCGTCCCCCTCCACGTCCCCGTTGGGCAGCGGCTCGGCGGGACTGGCCTCCGGGCACGCCGGGGGGCACTTGGGCACGGCCGCGCTGTCTTTGGGGGTGTCGCTGCTTTCCGCCTGCTGGGAGGAGGAGAAGGAGCTGCTGGTGGTGCTGGCAGGGGGGGACAACAGCACTTCACGCTGGAAAGTCCCAGTGCCACCTCCTGCATCCCAGGTGTGACAGCTGCTGCTGCCTGCTGAAGGGACCTTGGGACCAGGACATGGTGTCACAGCACCCTCGGGCAGGACACACGGATGTGTCACCCTGAGGACCAGGACACACGGATGTGTCACCCTCAGGACCAGGACACTCCACCACGGCACTCTCCGGACCAGATCACCCACACAGGTGTGTGTGACATCCCCATGGACCAGGACACGTTTCCATGACCTGCTCAGGGCCAGGACACATCCCAGCAATACCCTCAGAGCACGACACAATGTCACAGCACCCTCAGGACACGGGCAGAGTGACAAGATACCTCTGGGACAATGCCACAGTGCCGTGACATCCTCAGGACCACAACAAAAGGTGACACACCATGAGGATGAGGACCAGGACACGGGGGACAGGGCATCTTTGGGACTTAGTGTGACCCATCCCACTGGCACGGGGTTATGGGACAGGTGTGTGTGTGACAGGTGTGTGTGACATGTGTATGTGTGTGACGTGTGTGTGTGACGTGTGTGTGTGTGTGACGTGTGTGTGTGTGTGACGTGTGTGTGTGTGAGGTGTGTGACAGGTGTGCCTGTATGACGTACCAGCAGTGCAGCACACGTGTCACTGTCCCCAGCACGGTGACGTGGCAGGGACAGAGTCCCCGCCTGGGCTCTGGGGTGGCAGTGGCAGTGC